TTTCTCCATTGTGTCCTATTTAGTGTCATATTTTCATTTAATTCTAATAAATTTAAGATCATTTTTTATACAACAAGCCCATTTCTTCCTATGTCTACCTCTTTTCTTAACATAAGTCAAATCTAAAACCTCTACTCTTTTAAGCGGATCATCAGATGGTCGACGTTTAATGTGACCAAATCATGTAAGACAACTCTCTAATTTTGTCCGTCATTGGTGCTATACCAACCCTATAACAGATATATTCATTTCGCATTTTGTCTCTTAGTGTAAAGCCCCTCTATCCACTTAATCATTCTCATCTCGGCAAAACTTAACATAGTATTATGCTTCTCTTTTAAAGGCCAAAATAAATTTGGACTAAAATAGTTTTGCATTTTTTATTATAGTTAGATAATGATATTTACCAAATTCTGAAATAAAATCGCTTAGGATTTACTTGTTAATGTCCACTTAATCAATATCCGGTATTTTATTATGCCTTCAATAGTAGGATTTATTTCTTTTGTGATATACATAAATTTATAAAAAGTAAGATTGTATGACCCTTTTTTGCGAAGAAGTGCAATTTGTGCTGCCTTACTGTTTTCATCTTGCAAAATACCAAATCTTGTTCGGTAGAAGCACACTAAACCTAAATCCTGCTGGGTTGTTCTAGGTTCTATGGTACATTTTCACGCTTTCTCTATTCTGATGAACCTTTTAATGGACACATGAAGTTGCAAACCTCCCGAGCTTTTCTTATCATGCCTTTGAGCTCTTTTTCCCAGTAATTTGCAACGCATTATTAACTAATTTAAAAATTTATCTTTTGTAGCAAACTCGATTTCTAACTTGCATATAGGATTACATCATGCAAAAAAATAAATAAATAAATAAATAAAAGAAAAAAAAAGTAAGAAAAAAGAAAAGGCTGAAAGGCTTCAGTTTCTCTCCTGCTCCATGGACGCTTCCACTGCTTCGTTCACATGTTTTTTAATATAAATTTCGTTATGATAACCTACGACGTATATTATCAATTGAAACTTCTTAATCTACATCAATGTGTTCAGGTTGCTAGTACTGAGCAGTTTACCATTTTCTTGAGTACTATTGTTTAAGGTGAAGAAAAATTGTAATGCCTTCGTATCTTAGCTGTTGCGAAACATTTGAAGGTACTTTATCTGCTTAATTTAGTTTGAGCAATGTTGACTGCTGTCTTTGGATGCTTCATGACCTACTAGTTGATGTGGAGTTTTAACTTATTACAATTGTGTTATGATACATATCGTGGGCTTATATATTTTTGTGGTCCCTAGAGTGATTCAAGTTACAGTTTTTTGTGCAAAACTATCTAACTTTAATGAAGTTATGGGGTGCTTTGTTTGAACTAGGTTCCTTTGTTGCTAAGCATTGGGGAAGAGGATACAGCTCTGGTAAAATCTACTGAAAGTGGTGATACTGACCTTGTATATCTTGTGTTGTTCCATATCTGGCAGAAGGTATGTTGAATGAAAGGTCTGGCTCAACATTTTGGAGTTTTTCATGTTTCATCTGGGCATGTCATATGGATGTATAAAGTTTTTTTTATATATTTGTTATGTTAAAACATTGATGTCATTTATTTTCTGTGGAAACAGAAGCCATCTTTAGATTTTTTTGGAACAATAAATGCAAGACCTTTAGCTCGAGATCTATTCATCACATATGCTAGGTAAGGTTGTGTATCATGTAGGACTCTACCAGTGTTTTGTGGACATAACAAAAATTGTCATTGTCTGTTTGTAGGTTATATAAGCATGAATTCTTAAAGGATTTTTTTCTGTCTACAGGCCAGCTTCAAGTACGTTGCTATGCTGTCTATTTTATAATTTTATTTAATAATTCTATTGCATGCTAAATCTCTTCAAACCCCTAGTGACTTTGGTGCAGCAACTATTTATTTCAGAATTTAAGACCTGAAAACTATGCTTTGTTGTAGTCTTTCCCGATTTAGTAACTATGTTTCTTGCATGTAAAGCATTCTATTGACATTTTTCTCTTCTTTGTAAAGCCATGAATGGTTTAAAGCATGACAGTTCTTGTTAGTTTGTAGAAAAAGCGACATTTCTCCCAAGAAATCTGGAACTGTAATGTCGATATTATGGTTGTGGTTTGATGGATGGTCAACTGAAGTGGAAACTATTTTATCTTTCCGCAGAGTAAATTGTTTGATTCCGAATGCTATTCATAAATTTACTAATTTTTTTTTTACTTCTAAGTTAGTGACTTTTCTATACCACTGATGACACGGTGCTTTCTGCTAGACGCAGACGCGGGACGGGGCTTCCCATTACCCTTGCCAGCCGGTTGAACTAGCCCAGTCTGTTAAAGACCGGTCTAGGGGAATCTTGGGCCAAGCGGCCCAGGCGAAGCTCCTGATGGGGCAAGCGGTCTCCCACGCCCCTCTTCCCTTTTTGTGATGTTTCTTTTTCATATAGAAGCATTTTAATGGCTAATATTTCTATATTTTTTTTTGCCTCCCCACTCCTTCCTTTTGTGTGGGAGTTTCCTTTTTTTTTATCTAATATTTTTATCTCTTTTTTTGCCTCCCTACATCATAGCCCGTCATTTTTCTTTTTTATGTTTCACTAGGAGTAAATTATTGTTTGTGTTTTGCTTTCATTCAATCCCTGAAATCATGGTTGGTTTGCTACATCGTAATGACAAACATCTTATTCTTTTTTCTTCTATTTTTATTGCATTGTAATTTTTGATTTTTTTCATCACTGCACCATCTTGGGCACTCGGGTGTTTATATATAGGATATTTGGCCTACTTCTTTGCTGCAGTATTGTAGAATTCTTCTTGTCTACAAATTTAGAGCACATTAATGGAGTTAATTTTTATTGTAGGAGCATTAGATACCATATTACCTCCAAATATATGACGAGAGCTTAGTTCATTTCATGTTCATTTCGTTAGATTTTTTTATTTTTGTGTTAATTTTTTCTCTTTAGTTTATTTTAAATTCATGTCATGAACGCCATTCAGACTCGTTTGTCATATCTTGGTTAGTTTGATTTTCTTGTTCTATATATTATTAATCTTATTCCTGCAAATAGGTTCATGATATAAGGATGAATGAACTTCATGCGTATTGAATGGAAATGATTGTTTCTCCTATATATCCAATTCTTCTTCTCTATTTAGCATAATTGGATAGAGATGTTGCCTTTAACCTAGTCACCACCTTCCTCTTCCCAGTCCCTTCTAACTACAATTATTTTCCCCCTCCTCGTTCCTAACATATCTTCATCATATTTCCATAATCTGCTGGCCAAGCTTCCATCAAGTGATTAAATTGAGCGCAGACAACTAATGTTATTTTCCTATTCTCCCCTCCTTCAAACAGCTCATGTTATTTTCCAAATATATACCTGGTGGCCAAGTTTCCATCTAGCCACTAACTGAGCACGTCATCTCTCATTCTCCTCCCCTCTTATGAAACCCTGTCTGCTAGTTTGCTCACACTTTCCTCGCAAGCCTTAAATAGCTTACCCTTTTCAACTATTCCATACTAGATACATCCACCTTACGGGGGTACGACTGCTTCAATTTGAGGTCACGACAAGGAGGAGAAATTTCCATGCTGCATACACTAAATATGGATTAAGTGCATCTAAATGCATAAGAAGCACAAAAAATTTTTCAAAAAAAAAAAAAAAACAATAATTAACACCAAATGTACCTTCAAATTTGAATGAATTGTGAAAAATATTAAAAAAATCCCTACACTAGATACAACATTAAGTGGGGTTGGCTACATGAATCATTTTTCTGTGTTGTGTCTTATTGATTGCCATCGTATCTTCATTTGATTCTCATAATTAAGATATTTTTTTACACAACCTGCCCTGCTCTTTTTAGGTCTGCCTCTACCTTTCTTAACAAAAGACCTAGAATGAGATTAATGTTATAATGATGGTATTCATGTTATCTTTTTTTCTCCTTAATTTTCTGCATTTCTAAAAGAACAAAATGCTCGGATAAGAAGATATTAAAAAGTTTGGACTTCCTTCTAACATGTGATGTGACCTAGAATTTAATGGCCCTAGTTTACTAAAATTATACCGTGACTGCATTAACTATCTAAGGTTGGATCAACCAGCAGGATTAATGTTGCAATATTCTTCAATATTATTTTGAATTATTGTTGCAGTTCAGATTTCTGTATTTATGTCTTGTAAGCAATTGTATGATTAAATAACGCACCTTGTTGATTAATCCTTGTTTAAATCTACATTGCATCATTCATTACTATAATTAACTTAATAAAATAATAAGTTTTAAACTTCCATGCAGTATTTGCATGAGAAATGAAAATTAGAATTTACTGAGAGCTTAGATAATGTTTGTTAAGAGGCGTATTTGTATTTCTTATTAGTTATAAGGGTTTGGTGTATTGTGCTCTATATTTTGAGTGCACCTTTTTTGGAAAATTAATTCAACGCTCTTTCTATGCAGGATGTTGCTTTTCTTTTGTTGAAAGAATCATGGGATTTTGAAAAGAATCCTATGGCTAGCAAAGGATCTCCACTCCAAGGTCCACAAATTCGGCTGATTGAGCAGGCACAGAAGCTTTTTTCTGAGACTAAAGAACATAATTTTGAATTAAAAGCTTCTGAAGAGCATGCAAAATTATTGAGGTAAACTGAAATAGATTAACTTTTTTTGCCAGTATGAAGAATTTATTATCTTGGCATATGAAGTACTAAATATACTTCACCTTATATGTGATGACTTAAATATATATTAAAAAATACTGATCGTTATCAAAATCACTATTAGTTTTTTTTTAATACTACTCTAAAACCTTTTTCTTATGTTAGCCTTCTAGTAGAATGCATTTTGATTATTCATTAATAATTGAGAAAATTGGTTTATTTGAAGGATCTATCATATTGAGGATATATCATTAAGCCTATGATATAAAATGATTAGGGCAGAAAAATTTATAAATATACCATTGCTGAGTTTTGTAAGAGGTTTGTTTCTTGTGGGATTAGTTATTATTATTTGGTGCTAAATATATCTTTGGGTTCATTTGGTCGCTTGTAGTTCAAAAACATTACAAACTTGAAAATTTTGCATCTAGCTCTCCTAAGAGGGGGTTTTTTTTTTTTTTTTTTATTCCTGGTTAAATTTTCAGAAATTAGATTAGATTTTAATTGAAAAATTACCCAAAGTTTTTGCTCAATTTTATGTTTTGAATTCAAATTTCTCATAGACATAAGCCCTTATGATTAATTATTCCCATCAAGACTTTCCATTTAAGGTTTGACATTAGATGTTGTGTTTCACATTTAGTGGTAGTGGTGTCATTTTAGATTGTAAAAATTCATCACTTATTGTTTCGAGCCGATAATTAGGGGAATAATGATCAATGCTTTCAAGGTATTGTGATTCCATCATCTCAGTTTGTCTTGGACCTTAATCTACTTAGAAATGATAGTTGACCCAACATGATTGAATGATCCTTCTCAATGATTATTGGTTGAATTATCTTAAGATATCTTGTAAACATGGGATAGATGTTTTTCCAATGAGATAATATTAAAATATGCTAACTCATATAAAAATGTGTCCAATATGCATCTTATGATTGATAATTAAGAGGAGTCGAGCCATTGGAAAGTATCCGGACGTTGATTATGATTGTAATATAATTGTGTTATTTTTATTGAATCACTTTCATTGCTAATTTTATGTTTCCATTCAGCAGCAAAATCACACAGTTCTATAGCTAAAAGTACATGGAACTGGTTTATAATGGGTCAAGCATCAACAGAGATGGTTCAACGAGCCGAAAAGATAGTAAGGGGGTTACCTCACCGAGCAGCCTAGATAGTTTGACTAGAATAATTTAATTGAGTATCAACCAAACCATGGAGTTACGACAAGCAACTCTCCTACAATGATCATGCACAAATTTTAAATTAGATTTAGGCAGGCTAACGACTTGCCAGAAAACCCCAATTTGCCTCAAGGTTGAGTTGACAGGACTCTATGAGATCAATTCGCCTCAGGAGTTCAACTCGCTCCGTGGCTGAGTTGGTCGATAGATGTGCCATCAACAAGCTACACTTTAGGAAATATATTTTATAAAAAATAATTATATATACAGAGAGATAAGGATGATATAAAATACAATTCCCTTGTTAGAAGAAGATAAAGAGATAATTCAAGAATCTCTAGAGACCCAAGTGTAATGCGTATTTGATTTGTAATGCATAAACAAACCTTTATGAAAATGAGAGATATTGCAATATAAGAAATCATGCCTTAGATACTATTATGATCAATCTTTCTCCATTGTCTCATGCAATTCCTTATCTCAAATTCCTCCTTATTTTACACCTTTCTTTAGCAGTGTGGATTCACAGACAAAATATGGTTCGACATGTTGGAAGAAACGGTGAGTGTGGATCGTACCACATATAAGAAAATGAGTCACACAAAGAGCAGAATTGAGTAATAGAGAAATTACTATTAGCATGATTTACCCTAGAGAATTTGAGACAGTACAAATCAACAAGCTAAAAGAGTAAATGATGACATTAACAATTAAGACACTAGAACAACTGCTTAAAGTGGCCCCAATGAAACAATCACTCACCCATTCCTAGAATCAACGAGATGCTAGAGAAGAGTACTCACAACTGGAAGGACGAGGATCTCACCCTCTGCCTTGGTGGATGGGGTTGTTACATACGATCCAAATGATGTCGTTCAACTCCCACAAAGCATGAAGAGAAAAAAGGAAAACTAAAACCCCCATTGAATTGATAGTGGCCATGGAAATCCACATAACTGGTGTAGTTTTTGCCTTTTTTGGTGGGAATGGACAGGAAGTATCTCGCCAATTAAGCCTCAAGACTCCACTCAAGATATGTTATCTTGACGAGCTCATCCTGACAGTAGTCAGCTAGTCAACCACCCATTGCCTTCACTATCAAGGACCTACCTACCAGTGAAACTCCATATAATGATATGATAATTGCCACTATGTTGATCGTGAATTATCTAATCGACAACATTCTCATAAATACGGGGAACTACATCAACATCCTTTTTCAAAATGTCTATAACAATTAAGCTTGGGATCTTCGAATATGTTCCATATCTTTGCCATTGTTTGGTTCTTAGGAGAAAGAAATGAAGTTATGGGAGTTATAACACAACCAACCACAACGACAACAAGTTTTTATCCCACTAAGTAGGGTTGGCTACATAAATCATTTTTAACTATTGTGTCCTACTGAGTGTCATATTTTCATTTAATTCTACTAAATTTAGATCATTCTTTATACTACAAGCCCAAGTCTTTTTAGGTCTACCTCTATCTTAACATAAGTGGAATCTAGAACATCTACTCTCCAAATCGGATTATCATATGGTCGACGCTTAATGTGAACAAATCCTCTAATACGACTCTGTAATCTTGCCTACAACCGGAGCTACACCAACCCTTTCACGGATACATTCGTTTCGCATTTTGTCTCTAAGTGTCAAGCCACTCATCCACTCAAGCATTCTCGTCTTAACATTTAAATTACTTTTATGCTTCTCTTTTATAGGCCAACATTCAACACCATAAAGCATACTTGGTCTCACCACCATCTTCTAAAATTTTCGTTCAAGTCTAAGTGGTACTTTTCTATCACAGAATAGGCCCGATGCATTCCTCAACTTCATTAATCCAACTTGAATTCTACTAATAACACCTCCCACTATATCACCATCACTTTTGTCAATAGACCTGATATATCTAAAACATTCACTCCTTTTAATGATTTGATTGCCCATTATTACAACTCTGTCATTAGATCTACTACTACTAAAAATATATTCCATGTATTCAGTTTTTGATCTACTCAAATGATGGTCTTTAGACTCTAATGTAGACATCCATTAGTTCAAATTTATTCTGAACTTCTTTTCTAGTCTTATCCACAAGAAGAATATGGTTAGTGAAAAGCATACCCCAAGGTATATTATCTTTGTAAATGTCTAGTGAGTGTGTCCATTACTAAGCAAAAAAATATGGGCTTAAAATTGATCCTTGATTTAATCCAAGTGAAGTAGGAAAATACTTGGTCAATCCTTCTTCTGTTCGAAAGAAAATAACAACTCTAGTATACATACATTTAATTACTTGAAGATAAGTGATGTCAATACCTTTTTTTCTATAACTTTCTAAAGAACTTCTCTTGGAACCTTTTCGTAAGTATTTTCTAAATAATTAAAAATCATATGTAGATCCTCCTTACTTTCTCCATACTTCTTCGTCTAACCTCTCAAAAACTGTATAACTTCCATAGTAGACTTGCCTTACATAAATCCAAACCGGTTATGAGAAATTTTTTTATCACGTCTTAACATGTGCAATTACTCTATCCCATAACTTTAATTATGACACAGTAACTTCTCTATAATTTGTATACATGTGCATCCCTTTATTTTTAAAAATGGGATACAAAATACTCTTCCTCTACTAAGGCATCTTTTTACTCTTTAAAATAATATTAAAAAATTTAGTAAGCCAATAAATTCTCAAATCGCTTAAAATTTTCCACATTTCTATTGAGATATTATCAAGCTCTACTGATTTTCTACCTTCGATTTTCTTTAAAATCTTAACTTCATTTTTTCTAATGTGGCGGTAAAAATAAAAAGTTTTATTATTATCAACAATATTAAGATCACTAAGGTCGATCATATTTTTAAAACTTCATTGAAAAGTTAATCAAAATATCTCTTGCTATGTTGAAATCCTCCAAGAAAAACACTTTTTGATTCTTATTTTTAATACACTTTACTTGAATTAAATTTTCTCTTTTCTTTTCTCTTTATTTGAGTAGCTTATATGTATATCTTTCACCCTCTTTAGTATAAAATATATAATAAAGATCACTAAAAGCATAATTATTAGCATCACAAACTATTCTCCTAGACTCCATTCGAATCTCCTTATATTTTTTCTAGTTCTCTAAGCATTTACATTTGAACCAATTTTTATAACAAAACTTCTTATATTTTATCTTTTCTTGCAAATTATTATTCCATAAACAACTATTTTTATTTATAAAATTTTTTTCTTTTGATTTTTCATGTACATCTTGTCACTTTTTTATTATTGCTTGCTACTTTATCTCACGTAGAAGTAACTTCTTCACAGACCTCACGAATCTTAAAATTGTGAAATTTAGAAAAAAAAAATTATTTGTTGTTGTTTAGGTGTCCCATCTAATTTTATGATAATATTTAATTATATTTTTTTATCTTCCAACTTCTCATCTTAAAATCCAGAACTAATAATGATGTTAAGCACTTAAATTTCGTAACCAACCACTTGGGGAGAAAAGAGCAAACAATTCGTAATAATGTTCAATTTCGTCATTGCCGACTTCATGATGACTTATAACGCACTTTGGTTGTCTGGTTCTCAACACTTTCAGTTATTATCTTTCATGACACAGTTAAGCTCCCAGACTTTGAAGATGTAATAAGTTTTTTGGGAGACATGGAACAACCTCGCATATGTTACCTACAACCAACATGCAATGTGTAGGACATATTCTAATTTGACACAGAGAGGAAGGGCCTTGAAACAAATGAGGCTATAATAAATTTTCATTGCTAAGGG